TTTCAAAGTCCCCGAATATGTTATCAAGGCCCAAGTTTTAGCAGGAGGTAGAGGCAAAGGCCATTTTGATAATGGCTTTAAAGGTGGTGTTCATATAACAAAGGACCCTAAAGAAATATTGCCAATTGCTAAAAATATGATGGGTCACAGACTTATTACAAAACAAACAAAAGCTGAAGGTATACTTGTACAAAAAGTTATGGTTGCACAAAGCGTTGACATTGTCGGGAAACATATTTATGTATCATCATGGACAGAGCTCATAATGGTCCTGTTATCATAGCTTCTCCTGAAGGAGGTATGGATATTGAAGCTGTTGCCGAAAAGACTCCAGATTTAGTTAAAACATATCCAATTGACATAATTGAAGGTTTAAAACCTGAAATAGCATTAGAGGTTGCTGAGTTCCTTAACTTCAAAGGAGACTTGAAAACTAAAGCACAGCAAGAAATTTAAAGCTTTGGAACATGTTTAAACAGATAGATGCAGTACAACTTGAAGTAAATCCTTTAGCAGAGACTACAGACGGTAAAGTTATAACAGTTGATGCCAAAATAAACTTTGATGATAATGCTGAGTTTAGACAGAAAGAAATTTTCCAAATGGGTGATGATTCAGAAGATGACCCTAGAGAAGTAGAGGCTGCCAAGTATAATTTGAACTATATTGGAATGGATGGTAATATTGGTTGTTTGGTTAATGGAGCAGGTTTGGCTATGGCTACTATGGATATAATTAAATTAAACGGAGGGGAGCCTGCCAACTTTTTAGATGTAGGCGGTGGTGTGAATGAAAATCAAGTTGTAAACGCATTTAAAATTTTAATGTCTGACACAAAAGTTGAGGCCATCCTGGTTAATGTTTTTGGTGGTATTGTTAATTGTGTAACAATAGCTAATGGCATTGTTAACGCTTTAAAAAAGATAGAATTGAACATGCCATTAGTTGTGAGACTTGAGGGTACAAATGTAGAAGCGGCTAAAGACATAATTAAAAATTCAGGTCTTCCAATAATATCTGCAGTTGATTTAGATGATGCTGCCGCTCAGGCTATTGCAGCTGTGGCAAAGAGCAAATAGATACTATTTAGTGTTAAGAATATTTTGATATTGCATATATAAGTCTGAGGTTGTTGTATAATATTTTAGGAATAGAAATATATAAATTTGTTACATGAACATACAGAAGTTTATTTATAAATAATAATTATTGAAAAGAACACAGTCTAAACATTAGTCTTAAAACGTGTTATTAGTGGAAAGGTTTGAATCTTGAATATATAACAGTATAGCTTTTAGCGTTTAGAGGGCACTGCCACTCAAATTTATTGACAACCAAAATATTGTTCTTTTGTGACATTTTCAAAAAAAACTTGTTCGAATAGGTCACGAAATAGAATGGTCGTAAGTAAATGTACATTATATTTAAAAGTACTTACATATATATAAAAAAAATTAAAATTTGTTATATTTTTAGAATACAAACTATAGATACCCGCCACCACAACAATTGGATCCGTACGGAAAATTAATACAATTGGGGGTACAAATAGGTAAAGAAATAATGTTTGAGTTATTAAACATTATTCTACTTATTCAATTAATTTTTTCTGCTTAGGTAAAGATGTTACTGAACGCATAAATTTTTATTTAGACGAATATGGATTTTACAGTCGTTGTGAACGTCTTATGCACTGGCTTTTAGAGCACCCTCTGGCTTCAATATGCATATTCATGTGCCTAATCGCTTGTGGTATTCCCATTATATTATTTTCAGTATTTGCAGTCACTTCAGTCTTTATGACATTCACTGGATTTTTGCTAATTGAAGGTGAACCTTTAGACTCATTTTGTTATATTTATATAATACATAAATGTGATACTGATTTTCTGATTTTAGGTACAATACTATCGATAGCCATATTATTTTTAGTGGGAATTTCAATGGCTATATTTTCCATAATATTGACCGGTGGTGCTTTTTTGACTTCTATATACCTGACATATTCGTACGTGATAAAACGAATACAAGCATACCAGTAAACCAAAAATATTATAATATTTAAGCTCTCTGGTTTACAAAATTGTAAGATTAAGATTATTTAAGTATTGACATATTTATTTGTTTCAAATTTGCTGTGAAAAGTCTTAATTTTAGTTTCTGATTGACCAAATGATTTGTAAAAATCTCAGTATTATTAAGTATATTTTTATTTATTGTTTGACTAAGTATTAATTAAACTAGTACCGGTGTAACTAGGATTCGTATTAATAATGGTATTATGTTCATAATTTATACTTATTTAATAAAACTGGCTGTTCGAACCAGATTGAATTTTTTTTGAAAACTCTTGCTTAAGTAAGGTCAATGATATATTGTAGTATAATTACATTGTAAATTTATTATAAATTATTATTCATAACATATTTATTACAAAATGGCCGTGTGTATGAGAGACCATTAATTTTTTTATTTAAAAAAATGGTTCAATAACATACAGGTGAAGGCCTGTAAATAAAATTACAGCGCTCATAAGTTTTTTTTACATATTTTTTGCACATAATTCATTGAATCGTACCTAGAAATAATATAATAATTTAACATTTCAGCAAGAGAATTACTAAGCTGTTACCTGTTCTCTTGTAAGGTTTTACTCAATACAACTCTAGACGCCATTGTGTTCGTGAATCTTTTGTGTACATGTGAAAGCATAGGCGTGCGTAAAATATTTATAGTTTATAAAAGATTGATTTGATATGAATTGGGTGTCAGGCAAATTTGTGTAAAAGTAAATAATGAACTTTTTTAAACCATAAAGTACCCTAAACGCTTTACAAATGCGATTGAAAACTGGCTTTTAATAAAATTGATTTAGATGGTACATTTACTTTATCATGGCTAACTTTTGACTGTTGATAATTAGTGTGTGAAATCATAAAATATTGTTTAAATAAATAATCTAAAAATAAATACTTTTCTAACCAAACGTTTACATATTACCACTATTAATTTTTTTTTATTTTATTTTTTCTAGTTAAAAATGAATATTCTCCTAAATCTACCTACGCCTATGTCAAACGTGTACCCCATGCATGCATTTACAACAGTGCGTGCTTTGAAAGCAGTTTGGAACAAACTTTACATCTGCATGTACGCGAACACAACATTGTGTAACTTTCACGAAAAAATATTAATAAAAGATAAAACTATATTAAAAAACATTAATAATCAACGATTTTACAATGGATTGGATATAATTAATTAATAGTTTAATACACTACGACATGATTTAGTGTACGTGAAAGATTTTCGAAAATGGTGGATGGTTGAAAAACTTTGTGGACAAAATGTAATGGACTTTCACGTGTTTTTGTGATGGATGTAAAATAGTTTTATTAAATTCATTGTTTTACCAACACGTTTGATTTGTACCCAAAAAAGTGTTTTTTTACAAAATGGTTTGAATTAAAATTGTTTTTGTGTATTATTTATGCAGTTCGTAAATTTTCGTAAGAAATGGGGATTTCTTTGAGGTGTAGAAGATATTTATTGTTTTCATACATCGTGGTCTTGGCGGTGAGTAGAAATTCCTTTGTTCTTTATCGCAATTGTTTAAATAATATAGATTTGAAATATTATATGTAAATTCAGCACGTAGATTATACAGATAAAATTGATATAAAGTGAGAAAATAACAAATCCACGAAACTTGATATGACATACGAAAATTTCAGTGTGAATATAGCTAATTTAAAAAAGTAAATATGTATTAATTACCAACTTATTTGTTCTAAAGTTCCGGTAAAAGCGGAAATAAACTTACCAAAGGTCATTTATATTTGATATAATATTAATAATTGATAATTATTATTGATAAACCAACATTTTATGGTAATTACAAACAAATTTATATAATTAATTATAAAACAAAGATATATAATTTGCCGAATCATCGATAAAATAAAATTGCTTAGATTTATTTTTATTAACCCTTTTTTATTGTTATTTTAAGGTATACTGAGTTGCTGTAGAGTTTACGATATTATAGATAATTTAATTTTGCACAAATTTCCCAAATATTTGATTTACTTTAGGCGAACCGTTTAAAAGTTACAAGATAAATAATAAATAATAATAGTTGACTGGTTTTAATTGCGATTTTAAAGTACACGGAGTTGATATATGGTATTTTAATATTAAACATTAATATAGATAATTTAATTTTGCACAAATTTGCCAAACATTTTGTTTATTTTAGACAACCCGTTTAAAAGTTACAAGACAAATAATAAGCAAAATGCATAAACCTAAGAGTAGTTACCTGGTTTCATTTGCGATTTTAAAGTACACGGAATTGATATATGGTCTTTTAATATTAAACAATATTATAGATAATTTAATTTTGCACAAACTTCCCAAATATTTTATTTACTTTAGGCGAACCGTTTAAAAGTTACAAGATAAATAATAAATAAATGCTAGAACGTAAGTCTTAAGAGTGTCTATGTGTCTGTTTAATTTCGATTTTTTTTATTTATTTATTAATTGCAATCAAGATACAATTTAATCTTATAAGCTATTGTGACACAAAGGAGGGGAATCGAAAGAAAAAAAAAGAATAAGAATAAGAATAATAAAAGAAAAAGAAAAAAAAAAAAAATAATAAGAATAAGAATAATAAAAGAAATAGAAAAAAAATAATAATAAGAATAAGAATAAGAATAATAAAAGAAAAAGAAAAAAAATATTAATAAGAATAAGAATAATAATAATAAAAGAAAAAGAAAAAAAAAATAACTATCTAGAGTTCACTGCAATGAGTGAAGCCTAGTGTTTTATTTAAGGTATTTAATTTTTATGTAACAATATTTAAAATATTGTTACATGAAAAAGTAATCTAAAATATTATAACGTGCCCAATATTCTATTAAAATGTATATTTTCCATTGAATATATTATTCCAATAAGAAACTAAACTAAACCTAGCTAATGTTTTCTTCAAAGAATGTTCTTAATGAGCCTATTGTTTTATTTTTGGATCTCAATAACCTGTACAGGTGTGGTATTGTCTTTTGCATTTCAATACCAACTTTGTGTCATGCAATCAGGTGTATAAATTATTGTATGTATATGAATTCAGACTTAACGGGTATTGTATATGTAGTTGTATTGATGTCAATGGGACTTGATGTTGTAGAAACCTTAAGAAAATTTCACTATATATTAACATGATGTATTAGTACTTATAATAAAATCATCGACAATATTTTTTTTTATTTTATTTTTTTTTTTTTTGAACAGTAATCAGAACCTTACGTCCTATAAGCTGTTGGGCTGAAACTTCTCCTTACTTCGTATTTTTAGATGGTAACCCAATGGTTAATCCATCCATATTTGATGATTTTTGTTATTAGAATTAATCTAATAGGGATGACTTTTTATTGGTGCAGCAATGCCCGACAAGGGCTATTTTCACTTGGAAACATATTGCTATCTATATTTCCAAGTGAAAATCGTTGTCACTGCTGCCTGACAACAGGCTGCTCGAAGTGGGTATCGAACCCGGGACCTCTAAAGCAAGTCCCGACGCTCTTAACTGCTTACCTACGGTCGAGCCCATCGACATTATTTAATAATTAAATATGATCTTAAAAATTATAATTTATACATATTCAGTGCAGATAGTCCAGTCATTATAGTAAGTTCACCTCGGAATTCGAGATACCCAGATGTAAGTCTGTAAATACTTGTACCTACATATGGTAAGGTGTCAGTACCATATGTAAGTTTTGAGACAACTTTAGATTGTCAATATACAAGTATTTACAGACTTACAGCTGGGTATCTCGAATTCCGAGATTTCTTACCTAATTTAAGCTTAAATGACTGGACTAAGAGATTTGAATCGTTAATCGACCGTGCATTTATTTGTTGTATCCTTTGTAACTTTTAAACCGTTCGTCTAATATTTATAAAATATTTTGGAAATTCGTACAAAATTAAATTATCTCATAATCACCTACAGCATTTTGGTATACTTTAAAAACGTATTTCATACCAGACAACTTCTTCTCTTGTCTTATGATGGTGACATCCTTACATTGTAGTAAATTGGATTCCAATACGTTTATGCATTTCTTCAAAGTTTTTAAATTTCATATTAATAATTTTTTTTACAACATCGTACTAAATTAAATAATCTGCAATGTTGTACATTATTATAACTCTTTTTAGCAACTTGGTATACTTATAATGGCAATTGAAATTTATGGTGAGGCTCCTATTTTGGAACAACTAATAAATTTATAATAAATATAATTATTATACTTTTATTTAAAAAATCAATAACAATTTATATAACTTAAGAATGATTAACGTACCTATTTGAAGTATGTATTCAAAAATCATAATATACATTTTTATAAAATATGAAAGGATAAAATGAAGTTATATACAACTTTAAAGTTAATTTGCATACAAATTTGTTTTTTAACTTCCCATAGGGTAAGTTATAGTAATCGCAAAAAAATCGAAACTGAAAATTTTTATATATCTTTACGTTTCAGAGGTTTCTGAACATTTTGGCAAAATGGATATTATCGTGTGTGTATGCGTGCGGATACAAATTTTTGTCAACGATTTCGGGAATACCGATCAACCGATTTGAATAATTCAAAAATCATTCGATTCATATTGATAAGAAGACGTGCTGATTAGTTTTTGGCGAAAGCAGGTCTAGCCGCTTCTAAGATACGGGGCAAAAAGTGCCAAGAGCGGTAACTCAGTTTTTAAGGGAACGCCCGATTTTAATAATTCAAAAAAGATTTTACTTGTATTGGCAGGATGAAGAACTGATTAAATTTTTGGGAAGGCAGGTCCAGCGGTTATGGACTCTCAATAAAAATAAGTTAAAAAAATGTAATTTTGCGGTCAAAAATGTGTATTGTACATATGTACATCAAATTATCAGATATTTTACAGAGATATGTGTACAAATTTTGTGTAAATTTTTTTGGGTTCCGTACTAAGATTTTTAATTACGGTTCGAGCAATTTGCCTTAAGGCATGATGCAATGCAACCCACTAGTTTTTTAATTTTTTTGCATCCTCAAGGAGCTCCTTTTATGCGTTCTTTTTATTTAGTCTTTTTCTTAGAATGTAATCCATGTGTTCTTATTTAAAAAAGGGCACAGTACAATAATAAAAAAAATAATCTGGAGTATCCGGCGGAAGCTGATTTTGATGTCGTCACTATTTTGCGTCAAAGTTGCATAGAAATATCTCTTGTATAACAGATAAGAATAATAGTAAAAATAAAATACATAATTGGATAAAATATTAGTTCTGTAATAAATTAAATTAATTATCTTGGGAACACACATAATTAGAATTTGGTATTTGTTGTATTCAAATTTGAATAGTTGTAGTAAATCTGATTTATTGTTTTATTATATTTACACAACGAGTTATAATATAATCAAATTGCAAAATTATATTTGAAATCAAAACAATTTAAATAAATGTAGAAAAACATCTATAGGTCTGTCTATCGGTACCATTCTTTTGAAGAATATTTACAGAATTTTTTCTTCACCATTCTATTTGTAAAATGTAAACGTGTCAAAGTTTATATATGTATATATATATATATATATATATATATATATAAGTTTATTTTCATAACTTTTAAGGAACAGTTTATTTAACTGTTTTATGTACATCTTTTATTACTACTGCAACGCATTTTGAGTGTATATATATGTATGTCTATGTATACTTGTATGTACATATATATGCATATTAAAACCTGAAAACATTCTCGGAAAAAATTGCAACACATGTGGCAGACACATCAAAAAAAGATTTATGTATATATACTAGATGACCCGACAGACGTTGTCCTGTACCCACGTCTACAATTCAAAAGTTTCAAAATTTGTAATATCATATCCTATACTTTTTAATATCCTATTTGATGTCCTGCCTTTTTGATTCATTTATGGTATAATCGTAAGCTGTATAAGAAATTCAGAAAAAAATAAGATAGTAGAACAATATCATAATTGATTTTACCACACAACATAATTGTCTCAATAATTTAGTCTAAAATTTTCATAATCTAGTACGATATATTAATTGCTTTTGGCAATTATGATTTCCAAAGTACATTTTTCTTACTAATACTTTAATAAACATTATTGTTTATGTTCAAATTTTAGGTGAATTAATTTGTAAAATCCCACTCTTCAATCCAATATCAACTTCCTAAATATTCCATATCCAATGCCAAACAAATTAATTTTTGACACATGAAACAAAATTCTAATTCATTTTTTTAATAAGTAGAAATATTTTTGTGTTGTTAAATAATTTAGTAAAGTAAACCAAAATGCGACATGCATAAGTTCAAAATAAATGTATATGCATTTTTGGACTTATTGCGTTATTTATTAAATTGAATTACTATATAATTTCATCTGCCAACATATACTGTTGACTGTATCTTATACTATTTTAATTTCTGGCACATCTCAGCTGCTTTTCAGCAATAATAATGTAGACATTACACTTTTCTT